CATATTAGACTACAACCCCCATCCTCCCCAGGCACGTATGAGCATTAATAGTACTTTTGAAATGAGAGGATCTTTCACTTAAGGACTTTCTACTAACCCAGTATTTTTTTTTACTCTTTTTGATCTTTGCTTATTAGAAAGTCAGGTATTTTTAAAAGACCAGCCTATCAGTTTTGATTCATATAGTTTAACTATGGCTGCAATAGTTAGTATTTACCACATTAATAATATCAATTATCTCACTTTTTAGTTAAGATGAAAGTCATTCTACAAGTGCTGAGTCAGATGCCTCCAGAGGTTTTGAAGAAATTAATATTAAATATTAAGGAAATAACTATTCTTAGTTCTTTCTTCTTCTCCTCCTCCCCCCAATTCATGATACATTGCATCTAAGCATGGAGATTCCATTTAGCTTGCATGGCCAGCAATGGCTGAGAGTATATTGTTGAGAAGTTCCTACATAAAAGCTCATGCAACTGGAGTCCCAATCATTCTTATACAGAGCTTGAAATCTGAATATAAAAAAAAAAAAATCTTACAAAATTACATTTCAACTTAGCCAGACAGCATAATTTTCACCTTAAGCAGAAAGTATCCATAATCTGAATATTCAGTCTTTAGCATCAGACATTAGAATTCTGGATCTGGGCAAAACAGTAGAATGACATCCTACATTTCCCACAGTTCTATATATTTTGACAACTGCTTTTTCAGACCTGTTAATCTACAACCACCACCAGGTGGCAGAGAGAGTCTATCGTGTTGTGATTGGCACAATGCAGCGCATCAGTGTTCCTTCACTGCATCCTTTTCATGGTTGTATAGGAGCGTAGAGAGCATCGCTTCATTTGGAGCGGTGCTGCTTTGGATCTTGCTGACCTGGGCTCCCTTTGCCAGTCCAGACAGAGTAATGAAATCCCACCCTCTTGGTTCCAACGACAAAGGTATTTCTATGAGCCCATCGGATGGTCTGACCACACAGCAGCCGCAGCTTCCTTTTGCTTCTCTTCTTCCATAAGCTGGGGCTGTCATGGCGACTCCCAACAATATTACTGCCACAAACTGCAGCTGGTGGCCCATTTCACCGCTGGAGAATGATGCAGGCAAATCCACGGAGGTTGAGGAGAATCGGGATCCAACACACCCTGCCTTCAGGTCCAAGGACAGGCTGGTTCTGTATCACTGGACCCAATCCTTCAGCTCACAGAAGGTAAAATGCTTTGCTGGACTGAAGAAGGGCTTGCTAGCCAATATGATTCCCTTTGCATTCTAGGGGGTTAAGATTATGAGGCTGGGGTAGGGTGGGGTGGGGAGAAGGTGGCTGCTTTATTTTTCCTGGGGGAACAGTTGGAGATAGGGAGTTGAAGCAAACGCCTCTGCTTGGTCTCCGTGTTTTTACCATTGCAACAATATTTGCCAAGCGTGGGTGGAAGGGAGCAAATGTGTCTCTGTCTTGATTTGCAGGTCAGATTTCCATGATGTATTTGGAGAAGCGTTTGTTTGACAGCTTGTTTAGTCTTCTGGATGAACGGGAAGAGGGAGGACAGCTTAGAAAAATGAATTGTTTGCAGGTAACGGAATGGAGGCAGGCATGTTAGGACTGGAGATTCTGTATTTATGTGTGAAAGGGTCACACTATCCCCAACCAGCTCTTTACTTCTGACACTGCAGTACTTGTAAGTGCCAGGCTTTTTCTTGGAATCCCCCCCCCCTCAAAAATACCCCACAGATATACTCTTGGAGCTATTCTGTTCAGGCTTTTGTTACAAATGTTGAAACTAGAAGCATTTGCCTTTGGGAATCCTGACCTTTATTTTGCACAGCCATGCATATCCAGCATACTGCAGCCATTTCACTGGGATTTGTAATATATCGGAGCTATATAAATGGCAGTTTTGTCCAGATATAAGGTTGCTCCTTTCCTCCTACAATAGAATTCATGCTTTGGAGGGAAGGGGTCAGTGGGCCCTAGAGAAACCTTTGGATCCATGATTCATAAGGACAGCTTTGTACTTACTGAGCTTCAAAAACAACCTAGGCGTTGTCTTCTTTTATTTCAGAGGATTTTGCCTCTTTTTCTTACATTGTAAAACATCTCCGTTGAAGTATTTACTTTAGGTCTTTGTCTCCATGTCTGGGAAGGAAACAGTTAAGGAGCTACTCATACATGCTTTTTTACAACTAATCTAGAATTAGCCCCACCTCTGTCAGAATTGATGGGGCTCCAGAGACAGAAGATTGAACAATTAAAGGGCCAGTACTAAACATGCACCACTGATTTCTGACAGGCCTTCTCCTACACACACAAACGCACACACACACACACACACACACACACACANGAGGGCTGAAAGCCCTATGAAGCGGTATATAAGTCTACTGCTATTGCTATATATTGAATAGATAGAGCAGAGTCCTGACCATATAGAAGAAGCAACAGATTATCATCATATTCACTGCCTGGATATTTCTTTAAAATGGAAAATATGAATGGCATCCAGGAATTCCATGTAAAGAGACCAGGATAGGGATGTGTGGCACAGGGACTCCACAAAGCTGACTCCACACAGCCCTAAAAGCTGAAGAAGAGGGAAATTTTTATAACTCTCCCCCCCCCCCCCGCAAACCACTGCAGAGGAAAATGGGTCCAACCTGGCCAAGTTGAAGACCCTGGCAACATTTCAAAATTACAATGGCGGAAAGATAGAATGAAGGTCGATAACACTTGAAAAAAAAAATACATTATGGATTGGATTCTACATTTACACTGTTTTGCAAATCAGTATCCCAGATGATGATGATGATGATGATGATGATGATGATGATGATATCCATTCAGTTGTGTCTGACTCGTGGATATTCTACGAGCCATGTCTCTCCACGTCTTCTGATCTTACGCTTCTTCTTTGAGTCTTTCTATGCTCTCCTCTGGATGGTCTCAGTTTTGATGGTGTCCATCCTATGTGTTCTTTGATGGCCTGGTTTCACTTAATTTTTCCCAACATAATTGCTTTTTCCAGTGAATTTGCCTGCACGACATGTCCAAAATAAGTGAAGTGTCATTTTGTGATTTCCCCTTCTAGCGACATGTCTGTTTAATGTCCCAGATACTATGTTTTAAAGGACTCCTAGCATTTTCAAACCCTAATGGGCAGAGAGTCTTCTAAAAGGGACCTGGAGAATAAAAATTACCATTAGCTCTTATTAGCCAAGTTGATTTAAAAATGGTCTCTGAAAATGAGAGTGTCTATAGGGGTTGTACTAAAAATCATTTTAACCAGAAATTATTTAACCAGATAATATTAGGTTTCGATTCTTAGAGGAACCAAACTGGTCTGTAGTTATAAATTAGCATTCGTGATGCATCCCAGAATTGCAAGTCTAGCTCCTATAAACTTGGATTGAACTCTAGTTTCTAAAGTGTTAAACTTTGTAAAAAACTACAGATCCAAACACCATAAATAAATGTTAGCAAGAAACATCTTGTAAGTTTAGGAAATAAAATGTGCTCAAAGGGATACATTTCAAAAGAGCTACACTGAACACCACTAGCCCTGTAAGACAAATAGGTTTTCCAAAATAAGCTTTGAATTGTACCCCAAGATATTTATAAATACATATTTACTCTACTGGGCGACCAATAATTTGTCTGTATTTGTTCCACCTTCAACTGAGCAATAGCACTAATCTGCCAATCACCACTTTTATATTATTTCTAAAAAGCAAGAAATGATAGTATTGTCATTTTATTGTTTTCTTTTATTGTTTTATTATTTTATACTTTATATTTAAAGATGTTTGTCTGTGTGCACATATGTGTGTATCTGAAACACCTATTGCATGCATATTCTATTTTCTGGCACTAAGACCCTGGTAAAGTTTGTTTGTTTGAAATGCATAACTCTTAAGCAGACTTAAAGGACCACTAAGTCTTTTTCTGCCATCAGTTTTCTATATTTCTATGTTTCTATAATGCTTATTACCAGACTATCTACTAAATATGCATTATATACAGAGTAAAGGATGCTGAGCTAAATTACACGGGGCTTGTAGGAAGACAACTTTTAAAAATATTTAATATCTGCATATTCGTTAGGCTATCTGTTGTGGCCCAGCAGGAGCTGTTGGAGCTGCCACCAGACTCCGACAGTGAGGTTCCCTGTGAGTCGGCTCTGGAGGATGTGGAGGACCCTGGACAGGGTTCCGACTCCGAGCAGGGCGCAGAGAGACTG